CCACTGACATACGACATAGTCATATCCAGATGGAATCAAGAACGCAATCCGTCTCTCATCTAGGTCCTTTAATGATAGAGTGTCCAGGATCCGTTGCTTCAAGCAAGAGACGTCGACAAGCAACTGGCCATATGTAAAGCTCTCATTTTTGGATTGATCAATGATCGCAACTTTACTGCAGTCACTCCACGCCTGCTTTCTGGCCTCGAGAAAGAGTGGTAGGGAGGGAAGTGATTCCCGCGGAATGGGGTGCGTAACGGTCATCTTGGCTTAACGCCGGGGTCGGATAGGGGCGGGAAGTTGGTTATTCTAAAATAGGAGCAGCGCGGTCGCGAGTCCGGCCTGAGATGGACAACATTGAGTAATTTGATGATGGAGGGTTCGAGAGCCGACTTCACTGAGCGATGCTACCTACGCATGACGAGTCCCATGCAGTCTTCGGAGGTGATCCACGAGGTCTGCAGTGGACGAGCGGGTGATGGTGGGCTGGCGCCGAACGCTGTTCCCGGCTGATTGCACGGTGTGGGGAACCGGGAGTCCGTGCAAACAGCAGCAATAGCTGACATTTAACCAACTACGAAAATTGATAGCCGTTTGCAACGTAGCTCCTTCATCGTCACTTTCACGGCAGCGTGGAAACTGGGCCATAGAAGATAGCTCTACAAGGTGAATAATATACACTTGTCGCTCGAATGCGAAGTCACCGTTGAAATAAGCGCCGCATTTGGATCAAGACCTGTCCAAAAGACAACTTGAGCTCTAGGAACTCCGTACAGCTTCCCCGCTTTACCAAGATATGCATGCACATCAAGGCAGTGTGGCCATTCCACGCTTTCTTGGGGGCCTTGAACCTTGAGCCAAGTCAGAGGGACGGTTCGCGAATCCCAGTCGACATGGAGTTGGACGTCGATCAATGCCGGATTGACAACGAATGAACACAGAAGATGGGCGCTATGCTGGTACTGTCCATTTGCACGTTTCCGCCTGTGGCCCTCCATGGTGAAGCTCTTAAACCAACACCGCGGAAAAATTGCCTCTCCGCTATTACTCCGTTTAGTTAAATTGCCCGTGAAACCAGCGCGAAGCGCCATTCTGAGCTCTGCTCCTTGAAGAATCTCCAGTGCGCAGCTCTTTTTAGCCGTATCCATTTAGGCTAAAGCTTTCAAAGAGTGAGAATCATCAGTTGCTGCGCGAGTTGCCCATTGAGCTGCTCTTGATTATGGGAGCCAGTGGCGAAAAGCAGATGGGAGAGACTCCCACCGTCCTTGATCGTGTCGAAACCGCGGAAGAGCCGGCTTTGTATGAAAAAGAACTCGCCCAACAGGCAGGCCGCGACTATGCTGGTGCCACACCAAAGACTGACCCCAAGGAGATCAAGCTTGTCAGGAAGCTCGATTTCCGCATAATGGTGAACATGGCGTTTCTTATGATGTTGCTTCTCATTCTCGACAACCTCTTACATCCTTCGTACAGAGTTCAACTTTGCTGATCATTGGCATAGCCAACACTGTTTGCCATGTACTTTCTCAACTACGTTGATAGGAACACTATTGCCCAAGCTCGGCTGAATAGTTTAGAAAAGGATCTGGGGATGCATGGCACCCAGTTCAACACCACGGTTTCCATCCTCTTCGTTGGCTATATTTTAACTCAAGTTCCAAGCAATATGTTGATCACGAGGGTACCACCAAGTATCTACATGAGCACCTGGATGGTTATCTGGGCCACTGTTTCAGGTGCGAGAGCCTTTTGTTTTTATGTACTTCTAGGATAAAATATGTATCGTGTCTGACGACCGTTCTCAAAACAGCATGTACTGCCCTGGTTCAGTCATATGCCGGGATGGTGGTATGCCGATTCCTCCTTGGGATCACAGAAGCACCTGTGAGTAACTCTAACGTGTAGAAACTTGGATTTAACTGAAGAGCCCAAAGTTTTATCCTGGAGCTACATATATACTGTCCATATTTTATACGCGGAAAGGTATGACCCTATGTCGTTTTTTTTATTCTTGTGATGATGCTGAATGGCACACTTGTTGAATAGAGGTTGCAGCACGTATTGCAGTCTTATACGCTGCACAGATTCTGGCCACAGGAGTGTCTGGTCTCATTGCCGCCGGGGTATTCTATGGCCTTGACGATGTAAGGGGGATTTCTGGATGGAGATGGTATGAACGCGCAACAACTGACCCGCATGCACAAGCCGTAACTAAATGGGACATTGCGACAGGCTTTTTATCATTGAAGGATGTGTGACAGCCGTTGTGGCTTTCGCTGGATTCTGGTTATTACCAAATACTCCCAGTACAACTCGTTGGCTAAAACCGGAAGAACGCGAACTCGCCCATGCGAGAATTGAAATGGATAAGATGGGTGAATCAGAGCAGGCATCGACAATGGAAGGCCTCCGACAGGCCTGCAGGGACAAACGGACCTGGATTTTTTGCCTAATGCAAAACTTCCATTTATCGGCGTGTGGTTTCAACAGCTTCTTCCCCACGTACGTTTTCTACAGATGACTTGGAATATGCACCTGATGCTGATAGTTCTGGCAGTGTTGTTAAAACAATTGGCTTCAACACGACGATCACATTGCTCCTCACATGCCCCCCCTTCATCTTTGCTGGTATAGTTGGAATTCTTTTCGGATACAGCTCTGGTCGGTTCCATGAACGCACTTGGCACATCACCGTGGGCCTCACGACCGCGATTGTCGGGTTCGTGATCGCAGCATGTACACTTAACACTGCCGGGCGGTATATCGCGTGCTTTATCTTCCCGATTGGAGCATATTCCGTAAATTCGGTGATAATCGGGTGGGCATCATCCACACTATCACAGACAAGAGAAAAGCGAGCTGTATGTTTCCTGACTTCTGTCTCTCCCAGTTATTATCCTCTTTTTTACACTGATTGACCATGACTAGGTGATTCTCGCTATGACAAACATCGGTGGGCAAATTGGCTACATTTACGGCGCGTATGTGTGGCCCGACTATGATTCTCCCCGATATGTGATCGGGTTCAGTTCGTCGGCCGCCTTCGCTTTGTGTTCGATATTTTGTGCTTGGTGGATGAGATATTTGTTGAAGAGGGAGAATAAGCGGCTGAAGGAGGTCCATGGGTCGGATCTGATTAATTATTACGGATATTAAGCGCATAAATAGTCGTATCCGGTGCACATATAGTGTATTATCTTACTCTTTGCGAAGATGACTTCTTTCCATGGCGGCCTTTCACTGCTCAATTGACTTGCTTGGAAATAGGTATAATAATCGTCGAATGTCAAAGAGCCGCAGAGATGGATCTCTCAGAGGATGTCTGAGTTGAATTAAAAGTAAAAAAATTAAAATTGCCCAAAAGAATAAAGTAACTTCATGAGAAGTGCCCCCGGCCAGGATCGAACTGGCGACCTCCGGATATCAAGCAGTTAACCACTCGTCATAAAGTGAATATGAGACCGGCGTCATGACCAACTAGACCACAGAGGCTTATTGGATTAGTCTTGCGGGTTTTGAACCCCAAAGCCCCAATATTCAGGCGGGACGTTTCCGGGACGTCTCTGGGAGGGGATTGCGGGCTCCCGAATAGGGATCGAGATAGGACGGCTACGCTGTACTGAAACTAGCTTTCTCGTCAGAAAGTCGCGCGGGTTACGTCCTCATAAGAGAATGTCCTGCGAATGTATTCCAGACCCCGTTCATAGGTTAGGTTAGGAGTGTTGGGACGGCGTACAGGGTTGCCATGGTCGAGGAGCCGGGATCAACCTCGGGAGGTGTGGAATCAGAGCGGAACTTTCGTCATCCTCGATTTTCCGCTTGGTCGAACGTAAATAACACTTTATCCGCGGAGCGCCAGATAGAGAGTGAATCCTGTTTTATATATACGAGACCGAGCTCTATTCAATCATAGAAAATATACTTAAGGCGCGATGTCTTCGGAAGATATGGAACTCGCTGTCAAACACTTCTTCTCATCCCCGCGCTTCGCCGTGGCGGGTGCAAGCACTGATGCGAGCAAGTTTGGCTACAAATGTAAGAGTCCTTCGCGCGCGCACATATCTTCCCACAATGTCTACGTGGCAACGATTTCATCTATAGTAGTTGCTAATAAGCCGTTGATCAGTGCTCGCCTGGTACCACCAGCACTCACTGCCAGTAACCCCGCTCAACCCCAAGGCTCCCGAAATCCAGCTGCGCTCAAAGTCCTATGCCACGGTGAAATCACCATCCGAGCTCTCCTCTCCAACACAAACGTCACTATCAATAGTTACCCCGCCAAAAGTGACCCGGGAGATTTTGAAGGAGGCGCATGCCCTAAATATTCCTGCTGTGTGGCTGCAACCAGGGACCTTTGATGATGAAATCCTCGAGTATGCGAAGAAGAACTTCAAGGCGGCGATTGGGGGTGAGGGTGGGAATGGAGGTGAGGGATGGTGTGTGTTGGTGGATGGTGAGGACGGCTTGGAGGCTGCGGGCAGAGACTGGACACTCCAGAAGCTGTAATGGTCTGTAGCAGAAATTGTTAGTATGAAGAAAACCATACGGGATATGAATATTTTTATTTTCCCACTACGGAGTAGTGCATATTGCCGTAGAATTTTTCAGTGTGAGTGAGCGATGCGTGATTCAGGCGGAAAATTGCTTCTTCACATGGTGGTTGGAGCTACCAGCCATCCAACCAAAGCAAAACAGGGCGAGGAATTGGGGTTGCTAAGATGGCCCCAACACCTCTAACAATTTTTTTCAGACGAGGCTGTCAAACAACAGCAAACCAACACATCAACTTGCATTTCCCAACCATGTTCTGGTCAGGAATATCAAAAATTTACTGACCAGAAGCATCTTGTTGTTGTAGTAGTTGTTGTTTGCCTGGTAAATAAACAAGAGGGTTATCCCACTTTCCCATCCATACCGCCATCTGGTTTCCAGCCGTCTGGTGAAATATCTTCTCGGCATGATCACCGGCAACAACTAAGTGAAACTTTCAAAACAAAAGCATGACACCTTTGGAATCACCCATGGCTGGTGATTTCTTCCTCGATAGCCCTGTTCCCCCGAAGCTCGACCTCACTGGTGCACGGTCACAGTTCTATCGCTCTCCTCGAACTCCATCCGCGACATCGTCCCTCAGTCGTTCGGTAACGTCTTCAGGTCACCCAAACAGTCGCAAGCGTGCAAGATACGGCTATAATGACTTCGATAGCCATCATACATCAAGCAGTCTCGCATGGGGAGGAGACCTCTCAACTCAGTTTACTGATCCGACCAGCCCTGCTCCGCTTGCGAATACCGACTACAGATTAGCTGGCGGGGGTTTGGAAGCACACAAAGTGCCCCTTGCATCTGCTGGAACGGCACTGGAGCTTGAAGATAATGGAGCGGAGCTAGACTATAGACCTAGTCGATACTCTACGTATCCGCTAACAACAGGTGAAGGGAATAAGAGGAAACGAGAAAGGCCGACCTCGGCTGGCAATGACACAGAAGAAATTGATGATTCATCTGTATCGACATCGTTTGGCTGGGGAAGAGCCGTGATGAACCTGGTTGGAGGAGTCGCAGGAAAAGTCTGGGACTTCTGTTGGTCTGGTGCATTCCGTGGTTTCTATGCTGGCGGAGGGAGAGGCTACGATATGAATGCCCCAGCAGTGACTGCGGAGGTCACGCCGTCTCTCGATCAAAGTGCCTGGGAGAAGCTAAATCAGCTTGAAAGCCCGCTGACCCCAAAACCTTTGATATCAAATGACCCCGCTTCCATCGATAGACCCCAACCAGACAGCGATTGGGTGCTGGTTAAGACCGAGAAACGTTTCGGCGAAACCACTCCGTCATCTTTGCCCCGCAGGGTTAATCGTCGAGGTAGTTTGACACACCACGGTGGTTTGCGAAGGCAAGGTGCCAAATCTACACCAAAGAAGCCTAGTTTGATTCCGGTCAGACCATCCTCCTCACTGGCCCAGAAATATCAGTCCTCTTCCACTTTTTCACCCAGCTCTCCAGCTCCCAGTAATCCTTCAAGAACACCGAATGAGAGCCCTCTCGCTCTCGAGGCCCAGCGATATGCCGCGAAGATCCGTCGCAGGGAAAAGGAGGAAGACGCAAGCATTCGTCGACTAAACCAACAACTAAAAGCTATGATCCGGGAAGGAAAAGAAGCGCTGGGGACGAAAATTGAAATTGACGAGACGATGGACGTTGATGACTACGAATGAATTTTTTTTTTTTTTTTTTTTTTAAACCTCGATTCCCGCTGTTCATTTCGGTTCATTTGAGCGTCTTATTGTTATCGAGTATTCCTATTTACGCATTGCCCAGAGCTGTTGTGCTCGTCGATAAGTCTTCTTTCTTCTAACGATGATACGGCCTCTGTGTTCATTTGATACCATTTTCCATGCCGAAGGAGAGTTGCATACTGCCAACGATGATAAGCTATATTGTGCTCTTCGTTCGCCAGTGAAAACACCGCTGTTACGATATGTCGACTCCTCTTTTTTCCTCCCTCGGGTTTCCAGGGACCCCTTACGGGCATCATTTTTTTCTTTTTCATTCTATGCAATGTTGTCTCGCTGCCTCTATTTTCTGTGCTTCCATGTCAGAGCTGTAATTTACTGATTTGTTCATTCGCTGAGTCTGATGTATCAGCTGTCTAGGCAGATAGCAATGCTATGATCTTTGCTACTTGCAGATTGACCCGCCAACAACGACTTGATTGCTTTTTACCGGCGTCTACAACGCGTGTAGCTAATATATGATGAGCGAGCGAATGGACCTCGATGGTTTACAGGGGGGTTGCAGCGTGATTTTCATTTGCAATTTAGGCTATGCTTAACACAGCTATTTAGGTAAGCTGTTCTTCGAATTTTCTAGGAGATCAAGGCGAATTTTATATGGCTAAACAGCCCATGTCTCCCAAAGTCGAGATCTTGATCTTGATAGAGGAACAAGAGATGCTTGGTGTAGGCCGTGTGGTTGGCGAGCCGATTGCTCCAGCCAATCATGTGTTGGCTACCACGTGCGAACGCGGCTCGCCGGTTGGAAGAGTTCGCACCAAGCAGAGGAGAACGTTCCGCGCAAGAAGTTGGTTATATAGCTATTAAATTCCAGTCCCTCAAGTGTCTTCTAACCTGAGACATGTCCAAGATCCACCATATTCTTCTTGTTTTTAGACACTTACCAGGATAATTTACATGTGCATTTCGGCCCAAGGTGAAAAGAAGAAAAAGTTGGTTCCACCCAGCCGTTTCAATCCACCAGAGTTGAATCGCGAGCCGATTTTGATACGCAGCACAGTGCCATTTTGTCAACAAAGCCCATGCAACGAGCTTCGAAATAAGACGCGCTATTTCACCTGATTGGCGAATCAAATGCCTCCTTTTGTGCCGGGCAAGGATCATTCCACTCAGGATACTCCTTCAAAGCGCGGCCTGCTACAAGCTCTCGATACACCTCCAAAATCGGCTACACTGGAAGAACTCAAAGCCCAAAAGATTTCTTTAGAGTCTGACTCGTCATCATTAAGTTCTCTATCCAGTTCGGACCTGGAGAATAGCGCTAACAGCGCCGGTGTGGATGACGATGTCGATGATGAAGAGGTGAACTGGGAAGACGTCCTCGCAGCCCCATCTGGTTCTAATGCAGCTCCCACCCCGGAGCTGCGAGATTTGGACATCACCATACAAAAGAACCATGTTTCACTGACCGAGCCACTTGGAGGCAAGAAGGGACCCAGTAAGATTGAACGATTCATCCGCATCCAAACACACTGCATGCATGTTCAATTTCTCCTATTTCATAATGCTATTCGGAATTGGTGGATAAATGATCCCGAGATTCATGAAATATTACGCGAGAAACTACCAGAAGGTATCAAGAAGGAAATCCAGAGATGGAGGATAGCAGCTGGCCTGGAAACTCCAAAGCCCACGCCAAAGCAGTCGTCGAAAAAGAGAAAGCGAGATCGTGATTGGACTGAAGATTCGAGTTACGTCGAGCCCAACCGGCCTGACCTTAGTAGAGGAGACCCGACTATTCACTTGCTAAAAGTTTTGGCTGCCTATTGGAAGAAGCATTTCAAAATTACGTCTCCTGGACTGCACAAACGGGGCTACAGACCCGTATCGGTGTTGGAAGAGGAACTAAGGGCGTTTAACAGAGGCGAGGAAGACGAGAATCGATTTGGTGAGAAGATTCAGGATCTCAATGAGTTCCGCGAACATGCTCGTCGTTTATACGGATCTCGCGATGTAGGCTCCCAGTTGTTCACGGCGCTTCTGAGAGCGTTGGGCCTCGAAACGAGACTCGTTGCAAGCCTGCAACCCATCGGCTTCGGGTGGGCAAAGATCGAAAAGTACGCAAGTGCGGATGAAAGAGCACCAAACAGTCCTGTGGAAAGCGAAGAAAGTTCTCTAGATGAGGGATTACCACCTAGACCCAAGGGGAAGTCTAAAATCTCCAACAAAAGGCAGCAACTAGCTGATGGGGACTCCCCGTTTCCCACATATTGGTCTGAAGTAGAATCTCCTGTTACCCAAGAAATCATTCCAGTGGAGTCGTTAATTTTGCCTAATTCCGTTGCGATGACTCCGGAGCTCCTGGCAGCGTTTGAGCCGAGAGGAGCGAAAGCTGAGAAAGCGAAGCAGGTTATTGCATACGTCGTCGCGTACTCTCCTGATGCAACCGCAAAGGATGTTACTATTCGGTACCTTAGACGGCAAACTTGGCCCGGAAAGACCAAGGGCTTCCGGATACCGGTTGAAAAGCCCGTTGAAATCGAACTGAGTACAGGACCTTACGTCTACGACTGGTTTAAAGCTACGATGAGGGGATATATTCGTCCAAGGGATAAGAGAACGACAGTTGATGAGAAAGAGGATCTAAGTCTGGTGGCTAAACAGCCAGAGAAGAAAGCACCGAAAGAAGGAGATACCCTGCAAAGCCTTAAGGCGTCTAAAGACTTTGTGCTGGAAAGATTTTTGCGTCGGGAAGAAGCACTTCGCCCGGGAGCAAGTCATGTGAGGATGTTCATTTCTGGGAAGGGCGCTAAACAAAAGGAGGAGAAAGTCTACCGGAGATCAGATGTCCAGAAGTGTTTATCCGCGGAGAGCTGGCATAAGGAGGGACGACGGATTAAGCTTGGCGAGTTGCCGTTAAAACTGGTCCCAATCCGAGCGGTTACACGGAATAGAAAGCTTGAGGTTGACAGGATGGAACGGGAGACTGGTGAGAAACCGAAGCAGGGTCTCTATGCGCTCCATCAAACGGAGTACATAATTCCGGACCCGATACAAGATGGAATAATTCCGAAAAATGAATACGGTAACATAGACTGCTTTACCCCTTGGATGGTCCCGAAAGGCGCCGTGCACATCCCGTGGCCAGCTACTGTTCGGGTTTGCAAGAAGCTCCGTGTGGACTACGCAGAAGCTGTTATCGGTTTCGAGTTTGGCAGCAAGATGGCGGTTCCCATTATTCAAGGAGTGGTTGTAGCTGCTGAGAATGAAGATCTTGTCAAAGATGCCTGGCGGGCTGAAGATGCTCAGAGACGAGAGAGGGAGAGATTGAAGCAAGAAAAGTTGATTCTTACAACTTGGAGGAAGTTTATCATGGGCCTTCGAATATCCGAGCGAATACAAGAAGAGTACGGGGATACCATAGAGACGGAATCCCAGAATCCCTTTGTCAACCAGAGGAACATTATACCATCTGACGTACAGCCTGTCGACAGAGATGAGGCAGACTATCACGAAAGGGGCGGCTTCTTGGTCCCCGGAGAAGATGAACCGGAGCATGACCAGCTCGGCATTCAAGCACAACCCCGAAAAGTTGAGGGAAGTAGGGAAGTGCCAATAGCCCTAGATAACGATACGTCCGAAGAGCTGAGTGACATAGAAAGCGTTTGATCTCTCCTGCCATGGATAGCAGAATTTAATCTGTAGCTGGGGAGCATCCCATGCACTTGTATAGGATAAAGCCTTGCGGGGCCATTTTCTGTGAGCAACAGCGGCGAGTTCTTGTAGCTACAGTGTGGATTGTCAGTGTGTTACTTCCTGGAGGAGTTATTAAGAACCATAAGAAGAGAATATGAAGTAACTACTCGATACAAAATATGTACGGAGTACCAGTGAAATGTTTTATGTAACATCGTCGGTGACGCTTGGACACAGTACTCCGTACTCCGTAGTTGAGTTATTTTCAAGGTCCCCAAAGTCTCGGCATGATCCGCTCTGCCAAAAAGGAGACCCCTCCGGAATTGAATTCCCAACCCTCCGTGCAGATGACACTCCAGTCCTCAGAATCCTCTATAGCCATGGCCCTAATACCCAAAAAGCCCGTATATTTCGGACCTTTCTTAGTGACATCACAGGTAAGTTCTTCTCACTCAATCCCGCGTAGTTACATGCATCTCGCAACAACGTTTCCCCTTGGTCCTCGAGCATCAAGTCAGAGAATGGCGTCTAACCTTGATACCGATCCACGCATTTTCCAACAGGTCTTCTTTATGACATCATTGAGCTTTGCGCTTGTGAATCTCAAACCTCTACTCCCTGGTCACGTCCTCGTCTCTCCCATTCGCAATGTCCCCCGCGTCTCCGACCTCACCCCTGACGAAATTGCCGACCTCTTCATCACAGTGCGCCGCGTAGGCCGAATGGTCGAACGTGTCTTCAAATCTTCAAGTCTTAATATCGCCATCCAGGATGGTGTGGACGCGGGTCAAAGCGTCCCGCATGTCCACGCCCACATAATTCCACGGCGAAGAGCAGATTTGGATCATAAAGGCGGCTCGGATGCCATCTACGGGATGCTAGATGGAGACGAGGGCGACATTGCAAAACACATGTGGCAAAAGATGGAAGGCAGAAGTCGTACGAAATTTCCGGCTGTCGATAATGACAGTAGAATGCCGAGGAGCGATGAGGAAATGAGAGAAGAAGCGGAGATGTTGGCCAAGGAGATGGAGAAAGAGCCATTAGATTGAAGATTTGCAAGTGGAACGGACTACAAACTACCATATGGCTGGGTGCTGCGAGACGGTGATCTGGCCGATCCCTGGAGCTGATTTCCGGAAAAATATTTGACGACATTCTTATGGCTGAACGAGGCTCCATATCTACATAGAAGGGTACAGACAGAATATCGTCTAACTTCAGCTTTTGACGAAAGAAATCTATTAATGAGCCATGACAAATAGAGTCGTGCTGAAAAAGAGAAAATTAGATGGCCATCGGGGCCTGCTTCCCACTCTACCAAATTGACCATTAACACCAACCCGATTTCATTCGCCGCCAAAAACGCACAGGAATGACTTCTATCATTTTGTCATCCTCTCATCCAATCGTAGGTCAAAAATGAAAAGGAAACTCGTCAAGATCATTGGAGGGGCGGTGCGCCGCCTTTGTCCGCCCAGAACGCTTCACGTTCTTTCATCACCGCTTCCGCCCATTCTTTCACCTCCGGAAGTTGGATGCGCTTCATAACGCCATAGAACTCGGTTAATTGGATCTTGCCGCCATGCGTCCGTTCATATTCTATCGCTTGCAGCAGTAATTCCATCTTGTCGATATCGTGAACGAATTTCGCTTCCAGGGTCTCGTTATCTTCATATTCCTGGAAAATCGCCTGCATTTTCTCTCCCGCTGAACCGCCATACACCCCGCCCAGCAGCGTTTTAGAAATATATTCCATGACCTCAGCCTCTCGCCGCGCTTTCTCGGCCTTTGTCACCTCGGTATCAACCGGTGTTATGTCTCCGACTACCGACTCGGCCATATCGTGAATCAGCGCCATTTTCGTGCAGTGTGGTATGTTAAGCTTCCGAGCAAGAGATGGCGGTGCGAGCATGGTCATTATTGCCATGCGATACATATGGTCCGAGATAGATTCGCCATGGTTAATATCAAATCGGCGCCAGCCTTCCCGTTTCGTTGTCTTAAGGCGCTCTAGGAGGTGGAAAAATGGTACAGGGGAGGGGCCATTTTCAAACGGGGGGTGAGGGAGGCTGGAGATGACTGAGGATATAGACCTGGTTAGCAGAATGCGTATCATATTTCAAGTTCCCAAAAACCCTTCACCTGCTTGTGCCGACCATGACGTCTCGTTTGTCGGTTGAGAACCCATGATTTTGGAGTGTAAGAGGGAGAGTCCGGAAACAATTACAGATAAAAAATAAGTTTATACAGGAAACAGCAGCATCTATTTATATACATAGGTCGTGGAGAGTAGAAACACATCCATCCCCATAGAACAAACCTGGTACGTTGAGCGGGTTTGCGCAAGTGACCAACAAGGAAGAGCAAAGACGGCGGAAGCAAACAGAGCAAACAAACGCTGCGACCAGCCGATTGACGCAGCCAATTGACTATCAACACACAACGACCACCTCCCTATTGACCGAGAATGCAAGCTGTCTCCTAGAGACGAGCAGTTTTGGTACCTTCTAAGATAGCACTCTGGGGGAAAGAACATGCATCCGGCTCAATGCAGCGCTCCTCCGCCCGTTCACCTACCAAACAAAGGGTGGAAACATGGTCCGGTCCCGCACCTCTCACTATATTCCTCCGCAACTTGAAGCTCCTTCGATTAGACACCCGCTCTGGCTGGCCTAATATTACCCTAGAAACTCTCTCCGGATCGCAGAATACCCTTCGTCGAAGAATTCAGGCCGTGGAATGGTCTCTCTATCACCTGTTTCTGATATGGGACAAGAATGAGACACATACTGTATGCTACCTCTTCGCGCAGAGGCACTGAATCCTTACGGATGATGGAAGCAAGAGTAATGACAGTTCTGTAGAAGCTACAACCCTTTTTTCCGCCCCTTGAGCCGCTGCAGTCTGTCAACCTAAGAGCTGCGCTCTTCCGCATGCTCTCGGATTTAAAGAAGAATGGCGTTCTGGGGCGAGAAGCGATTCTCCGGAAGACCATGCTAGACGACTGCAAAAGCGAAAGATTTGAAGAAATTTTGGCTTCTTTCTCCACAGCCGTTTTGCGCAAATCTCTCCTCCCGAGCCAAGCTCGAAGCATTGCTATCGATCTAGCCACTGCTCAACAGTTAACGGCATGCGACCAAAGCAACATACTCCCGTTGATTCTTGCCTACCGCTCCTCCCTTAGCTCTACTATTAACGAAAGGAAGAGTCTTGGCTGCTTCTACGCAAATCTCAACCAACATCTCCACGCCAAAGCAGACGAGCTTTCGAAGCGCTCTCCCTCAGGAGCAAGGTCCTTGCTCGCTGCCGATAAAGTGGAGCATACACGACGCAATATTATTTCTGCATGGTACGGCAGTGGAGACTGGGCAAAGGCCATTTTGGATGGTGGGTTGCAGGTGGATTTGGACCCTCTTCTAGAACTGGACTTCTCTCGATTACGCTTGGTAGCGAAGACTGACGGTTTGGATTCTGTACGATCACGACGGTCTTCCGATCTTCTCGCAGACTTAGACAAACGCATTGCGCAGCAGAAATCAAAGTTACAAAAATGGCGAGAATTTAGACGGACGTTGACGGAGGATGAACCAGATGCTACAGGGACGGAAGCGCACAGCCAAAATCGCGTGTTGGCGTTCCGGGATCATCAAAAATTAACAGTGGCGTCTCTTGCACAGATAGGTCAAGTGGCTCAGAACCCAAATGCCCAAAATCCGGATTATAAGACTCTGTTGGCAGATTTCCATGAGTCGCTTGCCAAATTTACATTAGGCGCTAAGCTACCAGATAGACGGTGGAAGGTGGAGAGCCCCATACATCAAGATAGAGAGGAAGAAAGAGTTCACGATGGTGAAGAAGAGCGAGCGATGGCTTATAAGTCCGATCAAGCTCCTAGCCTGCAATTGCCTACCCGACTCAGAGAAATGGAACCCTCAGTAGGATCAATATCAGTCGGTCTTTCTAGGGATGTCTCGATGCAAAATGCTAGCCCTCCTATGGAGATGTCACCTGCACAAATAGCTGAAGCGGCCGCTTCCCAGAGCTACCAATCTCAAGAACCAAATCCACACGATCATACGCACGACATATCTGAACGAGCAGACCATAGTGCCTTCACTCTGGTTGAACGTACTCGACAATCAATGTCCCGACTTTCAGTTCCGGAAGCCCGTCCCCGGCAGTCCTTAGGGAAATCTAGAGTTTCAAGGCATTCACAATCTTTTCCCATCAACCAGTTCGAGACCCCTGACAATAAACAAAGACAAAAGCAAGGCCAAAGATCGGGTGCTACTACTCCAAGAGATGAACTATTCAGCGAAGATGCGGATTATGCCAGTGTGTTTAAGAGTCGGCCGAAGATTGCTACAAGCCCGGTCGGTTCTCCCATCGTGCATGTGCCGCTATATGCGGATGATAACGCGGCTGAGATATCAGATATGGAAGTTTGCGAGGTCGACAGTTATTTCCACCTTGACGCAGAGAATTCGCCTTCTCTAAGGAGAACGATGTACATGTGATGAAAATAATGATTGCGTTTTACATATTTATGACTTAATGTTAAAGGTAATCCATATAGTAGGTAGTTATAATAAATTTTATATGATATGCGCGCCACACTCCAAAGCTTCGCTAGAGAACATTTGGCAATTCCGCTCTTGGCACATAGTTCCGCCGTACGCCAAGAGCCGGAAAACTTCCGCCGTTCTCCAACTTCAATGCTATGATAATATCCAGGTTATATTATATAGGTGGTCATCATCATTATCTTCACTGTTTGTCACATTTGTAGGTCTATTTTCCTGAAGCTGTCTTGAGAGAGGAACGGAATAGGGCATACCATCCAGCGGGATATCATTGCTGTCTCTTGCCAGCGTGTGATCTATGCAGACAGCCAAACGTCACAGAATACTTTTTTAAACAAAATGAGATGCCTTATTCTCTGACTTTCGAAACGATATTTTTAACATCTCCAAGCATGCCAAGCAAACTTTCCTGCCACACAGATGAATCCTTTCCTAGTCCCCTACCGATTAAAACGAACTTGGATGCTACCACACAAGAAGGGTCTTGTTTTTCGGATTCTGTGATCTCAAATATGTCTCGAACACCCTGCACAATTTTAATATTGCCGTTGGTAAGGCGAATAATTGCTTTGAGGCGATGGGGGTCGAAGTCTAGAGAGCCGTCCTCTTGAGGCATATGAGACGACGACAGCGGGAGTTGGCGCTCCCATAGTACAGAACGCAGCCACTCATCGACAAGGGGAAGTTTCGACTCCGGTAAATCTGGTACTGCGAATGAAATGGTGGAGATGGTCTAGAACTGCAGGTTAGGAAAAATATGGAATGCGATTAACAGCGCGAGGGGACGGAACGCATACGGGGTCAAGCTGGCTCTGGCCCTTCTCACTAAAGTCAAAATTCGCGAGCTTATCATAGGCATGAAGTTCCAGGAGTGCTCCTTCAATTTGTGGTACTTTGCTATGGTCAGTGACATGGATTGTCGCTAAGCCATTGATTCCTCTAATGCGCCTTTTAACGTGCTCCAGCTCCTCAGCCGTAACAAGGTCACTCTTGTTCAAGATCACCACATCGGCATGTGAAATTTGTAAATGTGCGGTAGTTAGAACTGCACCACCTCGGTTCTCTTGAACTTCTTGAGGAGCCGGCTGGTCAAGAAGATGGCATATATTCTTTGCATCTACCAAGGTGACAATGCCGTCGAGGTAAATGGAGCTTCCGAGTCCATCATCAACCCAAAACAAGGGAGCTATATTCCCGGGATCGGCAAGCCCGGTGGTCTCTAACAGTATGTAGTCAAAGCTACCACGCCGGCTCATTAGGGATTCGATAGCAATAACGCCGGTGTCTCTACGGAAACACGTGAGATTTTTGAATTAGTTAGAATAACAACCATGGCAGACTGACCTCACTGAGCAGCATAAACAGCCGTTTGGCAACTCAAGCCATTCTTCGACTTGCTGGCCCTCTTGATTGACAGTTAGGGACTTCTCAATATCAGCAGCTAAAGAAGGGTCAGGAATGGTGAAGTGAATTCGCAGCCCGAAAACATACAATCCCCGAACTCTATATTCAACCCGTTAGCATAGAGCCGGGTTGTATCAGGGGATATCCCTAGGAAGGAATGTACGAGCCATTTAATATGACAGCAATCTTCTTCCCGTGCCTCTCATTCAGGATATAGTTTAAGAGCGTGGTTTTTCCAGCACCCAGGTAGCCTGCATGTCATTCTTTAGCATAATCCTCCGTAAAGCGGCTTTGTGGCTTGAATAAAAACAAAATTAATGACATAACGGCAATTGAGTACCTGTTACAATAGTAATTGGGACCCGTGGAAGATTGAGATCTGTGGGGGATTTTGGACGCTGCGATGTATCGGGTTCGATGGAAACCAGCTCCGGAGGGCCGTCTTCATCAAGTTCATTGATATCCATTTCAGCAGAGCAGTCCAAACCAGCCAACACAAGACTATTATCACGTTATAAATTATTCCGCTTCTGCGCTCCGTGGGGAGATAAATCCTAACGCTGGCTGCACCTCTTCCCTCAGCGCAACGGTAGCAAAACTTGGCGCTGACATAAGAATTAACTTAACTTAATTAACCCGCTAGTTAAACTAACTAAGTTAACTAGTTAACTAGTTACTCCAAAAGTTTACTAGTTAGTTACCTTAATTAACCGCTGGTCAAACTCATTCTCCATGACATCCTCTCGGGGCATAATATGGAGAAACTGCATATCAGTTATATTAATATCGACCTGTGCAACTGTGCAATCACTTCCCCAAGCTCAACCAACCACACACTCTGCCGGCCTTAGGCAATCTGACATCCGGAGGCAGCGTCACTGGGCATTCAGAACTTTTTGAACTGCTTCATGAGAATCCATAATGACGGCGTTAGGAGCTTCTCCCTCAAGCTCTCCGCGTCTGCCCAGTCCACCTCCCTTCACCGAAGTGCAGATTGGTCCAAAATCTCCCACCGTGAGCGATAGTCCCCTTGCGGCATCGCCTGCGCAAGATGACGCTTCTACGCGGCGAATTCGCCCGGGCACCAAGGCCGTAGATATGGCCTCCGGGCCACCGCTGGTTCCGCTCTCACAAGTGTGTTGCCGGTTCAAATCTCTCGTTATAGGTTCGAGGGCTGACTATTGCTCGGCTCATAGCTCGACTCTCCTTTCCAACTCCAAGAACACCTCAAAGCTTCCTACCAAGACTACACTCGTCCACCCGGTTCCTCGACCGTGATCCCGATTAACCGCGCAACGGCAGAGCAGCTCGCCGAACCTCCAGAGGGCGTCGAACGTTCTCTTTGGCTTTACGAACTATGCCGTTTCCTCACTATGAAGGCGAATAATATCGTCATTGCCTTCTTCGCTGAAACTCCTCCCTGCTCGGTACAAACGTGTCCTGAAATGCGCGCCTCTGAATGGCAGTACCTCTGCGCAGTACATGATCCGCCTAAAGCGTGCTGCGCGATTGACTATTGCTGTCATACACTCGACTGGGCGACAAACATTCTCACATCGCCCAAATTCTTCCCGAGCAGATTGACCCTAGGGAGTGAGGCAGGAGGCGGCCCTCAGGCGAGCATGAGACATTTGACGAACATCTTTCGGAGGGTATATCGAATTTTCGCACACGCCTGGTTCCAGCATCGAGAGGTCTTTTGGCAAGTGGAGGGCCACGATGGACTCCATGTCTTTTTCAAAACCGTCTGCGACATGTACAATTTGCTCCCGGAGGATAACTATACTATTCCTGCTGAAGCAGAAGGGGAAGAACCGCGAACGAGCAAGCCGGATGAAGCGGGCCGAAAAATGACAATACTACGCAAAGAGGATAAACGCCAGCCTGAGTTAAGTTTAGATTCCGCTTCCTCCTTGGGAACTGGAGCAACGACAAGACGACATCGTCATTCGCCATCAACGGGTGCTGCTGTCAGCACGATCGCAGAGGCTGCTGAAGACGAAGATGGTTCTAAGACCACGGGGGATACCTCTGCTCTTGAGCCTATGGAAGAGACGGAGGAAGAGACAGATGTCGAACAACTCGACAATCTACAGAATGATACCCCGTCGACACCATCTGAACAATCTTCCGAAGCTGTCGCGACACCAGGGGAGGATGGGATAACATCATTGCCAGAGAAGCTAGGACAGGAAGAGCAAACTGAGATGACCGATACATCCAATAAACTCTCGCAACCCGGGGTCAATGCGGACACTGAGCCTACGGAGAATGGAACCTTACATGAACAGCCCAATGGGCCCGCACAAGGAGAAATACAGGCGCAAGAAGAGAACGAGGAACAAACCCAGGCCCCAGTGGCAGAACCACTGAAGGAATCTGAACCGGATTCGAAGCCCGAAAGCTCCCCCGAAAGGCCCTCTGACGACCTACCAGCCGAAGCTGCAACAAAAGATCAACCATCTCCAGATTCCAACACAGAAAATACCACTCAGGATCAACCAGAAGAAAAGAATAATACTTCCGCAGAAACAGAACCAGAGCCAGAATCTCATTCTGCAGATGAACCGCGACCTCCTCCTGAAAAGACCGAGGAGGTTGGGCAAGTTCAAAATGCCTAACATGCACATACGATGGCGCCCAGAACGGTGTTGGAAATAAGACTGCTATAATACCGTTATGATGAATCGGTCAACTGGGTTGCGCTTATTTTCGAAGTTCAAAATAATTTTATGTACCTTCTTAGTCCTAGTGTATAACTATTCTAATTCTAATTCTTTATTTTTATTTTTATTTTTATTTTTTTTTATTTTCTTAATTTCTGGAACAGGGGGAAAAGGCTTCCCTCATTCCCCCTTGAATGGAAAAATTGAAAGATTCATGGTCATTAAAGCACATATACCATTCCATTGATAACTGTTAAACCATAAAAATGGGAGGGGGCATTACCACAGCTGGAACTCAGGAGACATTTAAAAAGAGGTCGCAAAATGCCCATAAGAAGGAAAACCTAAACACCTATCAAAAAACAAACCATATAACTGTTGCTCGTGAAAAACACAAAATCCTGGTGTTGAAATTCCCTTTCCCTTTTTTGTCCAACCCCCCTTTGTTATCAAACCGATGCTCCACAGCAGACATGGCCCACGGAAGCAAATGATCCGCCAGGACATGCTCAATAATCCCAGTCCGGAATCCTGATCCAAATCCCTTGCTAAACAATAAAAATGCATAGCATCTTTAAAAAAAAAAAAAAGGTATGAAAGAAACTCCACCATGCTGATTTTGATACTGCGCTTCAACACTAACTTCGATATCATACTATCGTCGCCGAGGTAGAAATGTAAATAGCATGTAATTGTTTAAAACGGGCGAGAAAAAGGACGACAGCGTAAAGTAGACATCCACAAGCAACCCATATATATGAGTGCACTATCTTCGGAGTACAAAATTGCCGGCGTTTGCAAAAAGATGTGGAAAAGATTTGAGATATTCATGATCCCGATGTATATGCCGGATTTAATGGTAAATTCGATGTGAATAAATCGTTAGCAGGAAGTGCGTCGGAAGAAGATAGCTCGTTAATACAGAGAGACGAAGGTATGTTTAAAACTTGGTCATTGTTGGATGACCTTGCTTGTTGGAGCAAAGACGCCCTGAAGGCGGGGCTGATGGGCAATTGCGACGTGAGGAGACTGTCGTGGGAGGAAGAGTACCGCTTGGAATATCGTCTAATGTCGTCAATGCACGGATTGATAGGTAAATTCGATGTGAAAAGGTCATCGGAAGGTATCGAGGGGGTATCAAGGTGTATCGCAGAAATACTGTCTTTATCCACGAAAGATATGCGGGTGGCGAGCCTGTGAGTCGACAGCCCCAGGTCTGCCTTCGCAGTCGAATACGCCGTAAAAGCCGGGTTAATGGGTAGCTTTGACAAAAGCAAATTGTTGAAGTCTGATGCGTACAATACTTGTGTGGTAGCTTTGTGACAAGCAGCACTGCTCAAATCCCCACTATCAGCAGTGGCTTCTTCACTGCTAGAAGTTGCCCCCGCTGGGTATGTCTCAGAAAGTAGGTCAGGGTCAGAATATACTCGTCGCGCCTTGGTTTTCCCGTTGCTTAGAATGAAAGGGTTTTCGAAAGAATATGGAATATGTCCCCCAACACCGGTAAGCACTTCCGGAAGTTCCTTCGTTTCAGAGACGATTATTTTGGGACAAGTAGCCTGGCTTCCAGGTTCCAGTGAATCCAACTGCGTTTCCTGCTGAATTGGAAAGACACCCGTGTTCAAAACAGGTTGGCAGGAAAAAGGATTCCTAGAATTATTTGGGTCTAGTTCACATTGCGTGAAGTCTTCAAGGATAGGGTGGTTGTCAGTGGGCTCCACTGATAGGCTGGCTTCCTCTGGGCAGGACAGATCACCGACAGGAAAACGCAAGACGTGGTCATCTAGTACTTCATCTTGCAACCTCGTGGTGTCATACTGTGTCGAATTCGCGCTTGTTCGACGCGTTGTTGTCAGGTGGAGCGCCACATTGCTGTGCATATCACTGTCCAGGCTCCGGTTAGAATTGGGCAAACTGTGGATATGGATGCTGTCAGCTGATTGCTCCCAAAAGCCATCCGGCTGGTGATTATGATGGCAAACATCTGAATCCGCAACGTCACATCTCTGGGTAGTGATGAAATTGCCAGAATCCTGTTCAGGGTACTCTAAGAACTTTTCCAGAGCGTGGTTAGGCAGATCCTGTGGAAATAGTGTCAACAATTCCTTGGCAGAAAGACGATTCTGGGGCCTTGGGTTCAGACAAATATGGACTATGTTTCGGAAATAATCAGGTATCTTTAAATCACCTGGGATATTCAAGGGACGAGGCTGCGCTCCAGGCTCATCTTCTTCCATAGCCATGGCCCAGAGGGTCATGCCTAGTTGGAAGAGATCCGATTTCACGCCAATATACATTGATATTCTTTGCTTGCTTTCAATCTTTTTGGTGAATTCTGGAGGTTCCCAGCCAATCGGGCATCCGCGCCGATTGATATCAATGATTTTGGCATCATCATTTGCATCAACAACCACATTTGACACTGTGAAATCTCCTTGAACAAACCCAGCTTCATGGATATCGGCAAGGCCCTTGATAATTTGTCGAGCCCAGCGCTCTCGCCGAATCCATTCTATCTTGCCTTTGTAGTCAAAGAATAAGTCGGCCAATGAGCCCTGGGATGCGAAGTCAAGCAGAAGCCCTTTGACCACCGTCACAGAATCATCCACTAAGATGCCTTTAAACTTGATCACACAATCAGAATCTAGTAAAGCATGCAAAGCGTTGATCTCATATAAAAATTCTTCAACCGTATCTGGACCGGTTATCTCTTTTTTGACGTAGTTTTCTCCATTCAGCTTCACATGGTAGACGAAACCAGACAGATGGCTATGAAAAGCGATGTGACTTTCCGGGATTAGTGGCGGACTTAGATGGGCAATGCTTGAAATTGGCGGATAGGGAATAACCTCGTTGATATCTTCGGTGACATGAACATGCAAACGTCCCTCATGGGTCTGCAATTTTAGATTCGTCACGGTATCATAGAATTCGATCTCGTCAATAGAATCCCTGATGGCTTCGTATATTCGGGCATTTTTGTCGCGGTGGAAACGTAGTTCCTTGAGATCCTGTTCGAGAGAGTCTAGCTCCGCGTCCCGATAATCACAGGTCACAGTCACTCTCCGCCAGCGGTTAGGAGCTTCCGCATAGGTGATGAAAAATTTTTCGCGGTCCGACCTGTCCCGAAAGCGCAAACTCAAGTTCAAAATCCATTTTTTGTCCAATTCCAATTGCAACACGTGCTCAAAGTCTTCTCCATAGCCAGATGCAGTATCGGCATAAGTTGGGGTGTCGCAATTGTCGAGAATAGGAGAACAGTTCCTGAAACTTGCGCGAGTGGTAAGGCAGGAATTATCGTCCCAAGAGAAGTCTGGCGCCGAAGACCGAGGAGCGGAAAGAGCGCGTGAAGATCTCGTTCGAACGGAGCTGAGCGGCCTGCGATAGTCGGCAGAAATAGCGCGGCGGTGACTCTTTTCAGTTTTTTCGCTGAGGGTCAAAAGCTCTCTACGTTCAGCTTTTTGGGTCTCCAAATCCCCTTCTGCAGCAAAACTAAGGTTTACGTTATTCACAGATCGTCTCTGAGGAGGAGATATGCCATATTTGTCATCGCTATTGTCTTTAATATCGCTACTCTCGTGGTCGGGCCGCTTGACAGGCCGACGTGGTTCAATGGGTGGTGGTGGCGCGGCAAGAGGGAGAGGGAGAGGAGGCGGCACGGGAGAGGGAGGTCTGGGGGCGGGAGCGTTCTGCGGGCCTTTGCTTTCCTTTGCCAGCCATTTTCGCAAACCCAATCGATGCAGGAAGCTCTGTTTAATAGGGGCGGATTTCTTGAGGTTAGGCATGGGTAATATGGGGTCCAGAAACGGGCCGGAAGTGTCCGCAATTGAGATGGCCATGCAGCACGACTTGACACGAGCTCTGGCTCGACCGCCGCGTTACAACTGACCAGGACGACAACCGGCTCAAGACGGTCGGGACGTCCATATGAAAAGAAGTGTAATGAGGGGGCCAATCGAATCCGGATCACCTCTCCCTGCGAGCGTGCGAAAGGCGTTTCGGGGAGGGGACAGCAACGAGGTGAAGGTTGAGAACTGGGAGTCGCTGCTGTCGATTAGCCTATTTAAATAGCTTCCAGGTGCATTGGGTTTCGCGGACGCTGAGAGGGGTATTGCTCTTCCTTTGGTGTAACACGATCACGCAAACAGGCAGTAGGAGTACGAGCGTGTAGGCGAAAGTGTTCCTCGCTAAGCACCGACGTCGGTTGATATCGCCCACCCAGGATGGCAGCACCAGAAAACGGGAATGTAGAAACAAGATAGCAGCAAGGCAATCGAATAGATTTGCTTCTCTAGATCAAGTGGGCATCAATGGAAAGAAATGAGGAGGAGCTTTCACTTGGTGCGGGACGGGGAGGCCGTGGTGACGCTGCGTTGTTCTCTTTGATTCTGTTGGCGGATAGGTTGAGGGTAGATAGTACATTCTATTGCAGTACTTGCTTTCTTCAATGTAACTTTGGCGGCAAGGAATTGGCCTGCTGAGTCGAGCGGCAGCGTGAAGAGCGAGAAAATCAGCACCAGAATGAGGCTGATGGGCGGTGGTGATGATCGGCTTTTCAGGAAAATAGCCTGGGATGAAAATTTCGAGGCCTTTTTTTTTTCACCAAGGTCTCACCGCCAACGGAAAAATTCCTCAATAATAAGATCGCAATTTCGTCAAATAAACAAACAGTAATAAGGTCTCAAACTAGGGTGCCAGATAATGATTTATTCGGTCCAGAGCCGCGATTTGTCGAGAGAAACATGCCGGACCCTACATACAAAGAACCTCGCTCGAATAACCGTCCGTCTCTCAACAGCAATAAAGGCGACGCCAGGGGAGAAACACCCCTTGTAGGCCTGCCCCCGGACACACTGCAAAGTGAAGCAACTCTCCCTGCGTGATTTTTCTAGAAATTCCCGACGAGGCCTTCCCGCTCTCCAAGGCCTCCCAGGATATAAAAACCTCTTGCATCGCCGATTTGTTGGATGCAGAAACTCTAGTGATCTCATATCGGGACCCATGGGTTGGCTTCCATGGTCGTACTGTGGTTCTCTCGCTCTCCAGACCCAGACTTTGCAGCGGTTCCCATTTTCATTTAAGCCCACGCCCGGGATAATGCACAGTGGAGACACTCGCCGACATTCCTAGTTACATGTCCGCTGCACTGAGTACAGATCCAGGTTCCCACCCTCTCTACCCTGATTTGCCCGGCTTTCTCAACTCGAAATATCCCAGCAAGGAAATATCATTCGAAGAGCGTTTCCCGTTATCTGTTGGGCATTCGCATTGGTAAGGCGTCCGCAGCCCTCCACTGCCTTACATACACACACCCAGGCATCTGCATTTTCTGCATTAGTCGGAGTTTGTTCGCAAGCCCTGTTTGTTTGCTGTCAACTTAGGTCACTTTAGGGCAAAGCGTGCTCAGCACCGATCACGTTCAATGCCAGCAGGCTGCGCTGGCTCCAATTGACGAACGCATATAGTACTAAGCTACCGACGCGGTACTCTTCCGAGCCTCCTTCTCCTCCTTTCATTCCGTCATCGTTGCCATCTCGTGTGCAATTTTGCCTTCTGCGGATTCTTCTGGGATTTCGGTGTGTAGAGTCAGATCAATAAATCCTGACAGGTGGCCCTGTTTTAGAGATGGTTACCCTGCTTCGTCTCATCTTCATCCTTTTTAAAACACCCATGAGACCCCTTGACTCCTCCATGTCAATCATTCACATGCGCTTTAGCCGACTTAAATTTCTTCATCGCCATCCTGTAGTTCAAAGACCATTGGATGGAAAGCGAAGGATATCCCATGGAACCCCAAATCCCAGATGTGGCTATCACAGGTTGGAACAAAGCCATACATCAAAAAAGGACATCAAGCTCGGGCCCATCCAAAAGAATTTGTAGAAAATAAATCTTTAACTTGAGCGTTTTGGAGGCTGGACGCCAATTCGCAGGGATATTTTTCACGGTATCCCGTCCAACTGAAAATCCCGGAGCCGGTCAATTGCGGCTTTGCGTCTCCCCGTTCTTGGTATGCACACACTGTTCGAGTGTCTGTACGTCCCCAACATGCATGCACTTCAGTCTCTACATCAATGCACCTCGCTGCATGCACTCTGCCTGTGCCCCAGACTTTGTTCTTCAATCAGATCATCTCTTCGTAGACAAAATAATCACTAAGGTAATATACAAGGATGCCAAAGCTTGCTAGTAAACAAACAATGCCCCAAAAAAACAGTAATAAGCCAAAAAAGCGCAGCCCAGTGAACGAGTGGAGTGTCTTTAGAGTTTTTTTTTCTCGGCCCTATGGAAGCGTACGATTCTTCCACTGCATACGCCCGACATCATCACCTGAGGCGGCAAGGGAGCAGAAGCACAGAATAAGAAAATACAAAAAGAATACCAAAAATCTATCCATCATGCAAACAGCATAAAGTCCAAGGCTGTGCAGTTCTTTTCGCAGGAAAAAGGGGGGACAAGCATCACAACACGGGTGTGGGTACTGTACATACATATGATCAATTGCCCACACTATACAAAAAGAAAACAGAAAAACTCCAGAGCATGCAAAAGAGATGGGAGAGATGCATGTGTATATGCTGGTTAGACAACAAATAGGAAGATTTCGTCTAGCATGGATATGCGCGAAAGCCAGGGAAATCATTAGGATGACAACAGAGCCCCAGTGTAACTGTAAACAGATTAGACGTCACTGCATACTGCTGTCAATGTGGCATTCATTCATTTAATTTCATCAGCTTTCTCCGAATCGCTCAGCTGAGCTTGCCATACGTTGTTGGCTCTCTTGGAATCAAGATCCTTGAAGACGAGGTCAAAGACTTCGGAGTACCAGCTAACAGCATGTCCATCGATTCCTTCCTTGATATTCTATATTTCATTCAACGGAACTCGGTTAGCTTGTTAACTGACTTTAAGGTTGATAATGATTATTGAGGGAAGAATACCTGTGGGAGTTCAAGCCAATCGGAGATATTATCCGAAGGGAAAATGATAGTTTTGGCTCCTGCACGGCGGGCGGCGACAGTCTTTTCTCTGAGTCCACCAATCCGGAGAACTTTACCTGTAACAGTAAGCTCTCCCGTCATGGCAATAGTCGGATCGATGGGCTGATCGAGGGCTAGAGATAACAATGAGGTGGCCATGGTTATTCCGGCGGACGGGCCTGGAAGGCGAAGTCAGTCAGCAAACCTCTTAATTGGAAAAAGGTGCAACCTCAAGGTGGCAGAGACATACCGTCTTTCTGAACTGCACCTTCGGGGCAATGTAGGTGGAGTCTGGCCTTCTCGAAAAATTTGTTCCCTGGGAAGTCCTTGGCTACAACAGACTTGGCGAAAGAGTACGCAATAACAGTCGATTCCTTCATAACAGTCATGAGATTACCCGTCTGTTCAAATCCCGGTTGCGACGATGGTGTCAGGGCAGACTGCAAGATCGTTTCGACATAAAGTGCTGCACCGCCCATACTCGTCCACGCCAAACCCATGGCGACACCAGGGGGAGTGACCTCATAGAGGCGATCGGAGGTGAAGACTGGTGGGCCGACATAATCCTTCAGGTTATCCTTCGTGATGACCACATGAACATCATCCGGGACATTTGCTGGAAGTAAGGGAGTCTCCCGATTCAAGTCCTCTGCTTCCTTTCCATTCTTCACGGCCTCCTGTGCTGCCCTAACTTCTTCTCTCACCACATCCTCTTCCGTAGGTTCCTCTTCGCGCAGATTTTGAATAATCTTCAAGGCTGCCTTTCTGTAGACCTTTTCGATCTGCTTTTTCAAGTTCCGAACTCCACTTTCTCTGCAGTAAGACTTGATAAGCTCCTCAATGGCATTCTTGTCCAGCTTCACATCAACTTCCTTCAGTCCGCTTAATTCCTTTGCAGCAGGAGCGAGATAACGTTCAGCAATCGCCATCTTTTCATCGGCAACGTACCCAGATAGTTCGATAATCTCCATACGATCCAGCAAAGGCCGTGGAATGGTGTCCGTCATATTTGCTGTGCAAACAAAGAGGACCTTCGATAGGTCCACGGGAACATCCATGTAGTGGTCCAAGAAAGACGAGTTCTGCTCCGGATCCAGAAGTTCAAGCAGCGCCGAAGACGGATCACCTTGGTGTCCACGGCCAATCTTATCGACCTCATCGATAAGAATGAGCGGGTTCTCTGTCTGACACTTTTTAAGGGCCTGAATGATACGTCCAGGCAAGGCACCCACATAGGTTCGTCGGTGACCTTTGATCTCAGCTACATCCGTCAGGCCGCCAACGCTAAATCGATAGTATTGTCTGTTGAGGGCACGAGCAATAGATTTGCCGATGCTGGTCTTACCCACACCAGGTGGACCAACGAAGCAGAGGATTTTGCCCTCCACAGTTCCACGAAGCTTCCCTACTGCGATAAATTCCAAGATGCGATCTTTGACATCTTTGAGGCCGTAGTGGTCTTCATCCAAGACCGTCATCGCATTTTTAATCCCAAAGTTCTCGGCGCTTCGTTTACCCCATGGGATCTGTGTTATCCAGTCAAGATAGTTTCGAGTTACGTTGAATTCAGACGCAGCCGGCTCCAGGTGCGCAAGCTTGTTCAACTCCTCATCGAATACTTTCTTGACAGCTTCCGGCATCGCCAACTTTTCTGCTTTCTCCTTGAACTTCTCGACTAGCTTGTCCTTTCCGTCGGACTCAATGCCAAGTTCTCTCCTAATACCTTTCATTTGCTCCATCAGCCAGTACTCTCGCTGTCGTTTTTGGATCTTGGCCTCGACATCTTTGGAGATCTTCGATTGTAGCTGAGCGTTCATAAGTTCCTTCTTGAGTACCACAAGAGCTTTAGATAAGCGCTCTTCAACGTTCATCGTTTCCAGGACGTCCTGTAGCTCTTTAATTTCACCAGCAGAAACAGCTGCGGCAAAATCGGCGAGTTTAGCTGGTTCCTCGATCACATTCCCAGCGGATTGGCTCATAGAAAAGGTGGATATTTGATCGCGGAATAATGGATTCAAATTCGCTACGTCCTTGAAGACGTTGACTATTTCGCTCGTGACAGCACGGATAACGGGACTCTTCTTATCGACAGGCTCTTCCGCAAGGTTGTCAACGTTAACTATGCTAACCGGGTACTTGTGTAGAAATGATGTTGGCTCGTAGTTAAGGACATCCTTCGGCGCCTGCTCCATCGTAGCCTCTTCGAAGCTGGCGACAACATCCCCTTGTTTATCCAGCGGTGCCTCCTTTTGAGCTTGTGACTCGGGTTCCTCCTTGGCTGCTTTCTCTTGTGGCGGTAGCAGCGAAGACATCTTGATCCTGCGGTGGGGATATAGAACTGCTGTCAAGCCATTCTCATCGCCATGAACCGGAAATGCACTTGTTATTTGCGCAAAAACTCCGACGTTATGAACATCGTCCATACTCTCGATAATGTCCTTGTCCGCATTTTCATCTTTGAACAGAAATGCACCGACATATGGTTGACCTCGCTTCATCATCTCTTGGACTGCTGCAACAACGTTGGGGTCTTTGATTGTGATTGCCTTGTAGAATCCAGGAAACAACGGCCTCCGCGCTATCGGAATCGCCATCACCTGCGGATATACATCGGGAATTGAGGGTTTGGAGAGCGCGCGCTCCGCTGCACTCTTTCTCCCTCTCTTTCCTCCCCCTTCTCCACTCCCGGATGAGCCCGCACTGCCTCCCGCACCGCCTCCCGCACCAGCGCCACTCGGCCGTGACTCCGCTGGTCCGCCCGACGGTGGTATAGGTGCAGGGTTGTCTGACGACCTCCCATCCTTTCCAGAATCTTCGGGCTTGGGCAGCTCTTCACGGTCAACGTCCGTTTCAGTTCCTTCTTCGCGCTCTTTCTTCTGTTGTGAAGATGTCGGCTTTTCTTTTCGTCTGGTTGGGCTCGAAGAGAAAGACTGTGCAAGTGAGGGAAAAGATCTCGAGGCAATCGCCGCGCGGAACTCTGATGATACAGGGACGTTAAGCCTAACCGGAGCAAGGTGGGATCTACATAGTATATTTCGAGGTGTTTTGCGGAACGCAGCCCTCCAGGGGAGGCTTGAACTTCGAAGCATGCTCCCAGCTGGGGATCTGATAAAAGCTCGGCGGGACGGGGTGTAGGTGGCCTAGATGAGAAATCCCCTCAAAAAACAGGCGAGCTCTCACAGGGAGGAATTCAACAACAGTGTCAGAAGAACGAGGAGAAGGCAATTCCGTCGCGTTGGAGTTGCTGCCGTCGAGAACGATGAATCAACGGAGGTGAAGCTCAACCCGGCGCGGCGGCCTCGGCGAAACACTTTTCCCGATGAAACTTTTGCCTTCATGGAATCTTCACGATGGATGTAGATCAAGGCCGCCTTCAGCTTTTTTTTTCTCCCTTCTCTCGTCTTCTCACCCGTCACCTCGTCGCATATTTGTTTTATACCCAGTTACAGTCTGATATATACGTATTATCCGTGATCTATTACTTGCGATAAGTGGTGTGGTTCGAGCCATGCCGATGGCGGCCACATTCCCTTCACAACTTCTCCGTTCGTCTCGATGCTGCGCAAACCAATGCACGGGAATCTCCCGGCAAATACAATCGCGATCGTTTCATTGTGCCAGCAAATCATGTTATGAACGCAAATCATATATCCAATCACCGAGAAAGCGCTCTAATAGCCATGCAAGGGTAAAGTCGGCCAACCATATTTACCACATTTGAGCTTGTATACTGATTGGGGACATGGCTAGTCCTTTCATTCATCTGCTCCTGCCCAGGCGACCGTCAAAGATCCTTATAATGTCCTTGGGGTGAACAAAAATGCCTCCGCCTCCGATATCAAACGTGCGTACTACGGGCTAGCTAAAAAGTACCATCCCGATACAAACAAGGACCCCAGTGCCAAAGACAAGTTTGCGGAGGCCCAGTCCGCCTACGAAATGTTGTCGGACCCAGAGAAAAAGAAGGCTTATGACCAATTCGGAGCGCGAGCATTTGATCAGAATGGCGGCTTTAATCCTCACGCTGCTGGCGGCGGCCCGTTCGGAGGTGCCTCGGCCGGCGGCTTCCATGGCTTCGGTGGATTTGGCGGCGAGGTTAACTTTGAGGACCTCTTTGCGCATGCGTTTGGCGGCGCAGGCCGGCGTCGAACTTCAAGAGGTTCACCGTTCCAGTCAACCGTGCTTGTCGGTGAAGATATCGAAGTTCAAACGAACGTTTCGTTCATGGATGCGGCAAAAGGAACCAAAAAAGATATTTTTATCACCCCTCTGGTCAAGTGCAATTCTTGTCAAGGAGAGGGTTTAAAACCCGGAAGAAAGAGATCACAATGCTCCGCCTGTGGAGGATCAGGAACAACGGTCCATATTATGGGCGGGTTCCAAATGGCGAGTACCTGCGGAGCCTGTGATGGCACAGGTAGCTCGATTCCTAGAGGCGCTGAGTGCTCAAGCTGCCATGGAAACGGAGTCGTTAGAGAACGACGCACCGTTCAAGTTGATATCCCCGGGGGTGTGGAAGATGGCATGAGATTGCGGATCGCTGGAGAAGGTGACGTGCCACCTGGAGAGCCTGGCACCCGTAAACAACGAGGCGACCTGTTTGTTTTCATCAGGGTTGCTCCTGACCAAAGGTTCAGCCGATCCGGTGCCGACGTCCTTTATACTGCGTCAATCCCATTGACGACAGCCCTGCTGGGTGGTGAGGTCACTGTTCCAACGCTTGACGGCGAAGTCAAGGTGAAAGTGGCCACCGGAACTGGTACTGGTGACCAGATCACTCTATCTGGAATGGGAATGCGGAAACTGGGTGGCCGCCGCGGAGGAAATGGTGACCTCAAGGTTCAGTTCAAGGTCGCGATGCCGAAGTATCTCACTGCAAATCAACGGACCATCCTGGAGGTCCTCGCCGATGAGATGGGTGATAAAACCGCTAAGAGGGTCATGAACGTGAAAGACGACAGGTAATCAACCATGTCGAAGCTAGTGTTCTCTGTTCTCCGGCTGACACTAGCTTTCCTAGATTCGCTTCCAGCCCCGATTCAAAGTCCGAAAAGTCGGCTGATCCTCACAAGGGCGAGGGTTTCCTTAAAGCTGCTTGGCACAAATTAATGAACCAGCACCATAAGCCAACCGATTCAAGCACCGAGGGCAAGTCCGACGCCAGTCAAAAGAAGGGCTCGAACCAGGACAACTCTGATAATCACGACGAGTCCAAGAAGGCTTCGGGCTCCGGTTAAATCAATACTACCCGAGCCACTTTTTTGATTTTGCTTTTGCTTTTGCTCATAGCGTTCTTGCATTGCTTGAGTTTCTTCCATGTATATTCTGCTGAAAAAGCCCGTTTCCCTTTTTGGATCTGCATACCGGGAATACATACATTCATGGTTTAACTTATAGATTTAGGGATTTCCTTCCGCTGTATTATTATTTGGCAAGCTCATCTCCACTTGCTCTGAGGTTGAATTAATGTTCAGGTGTTTCGCATTGATCCTTGCAGCGGTGCATGCGCTTATGTATGGTAGCCGAATAGTGCCTTTGGAAAAGAGGATTTAATTTGGAAAAAAAAAAAAAAAAAAAAAAAATTATTGATTCATCAGACTTGCAGGGCGACAAGGCAACAGGAGTAAATTTTAATGTTGTAAAAACTTGCAGAATGGCCATGGATACTGCATCGTCTCAATGGCGCTGAGTACGATAGGCTCGAAGTCACCTTAACGCCGTACTTATTTAGTTACATCAATCCTCAGCTTTGCCTCTTGCAGCGTCATATATAACCACGGTCTGGAAAGCCCCTCGCAATTCGTCACCCTACATCTAAACCCCAACAACATCAGGTTGCCGATTCAACTTATGATTGCTTATTTGACGCCTCTCGACTGCTTCATCTACCCGTATCTACAGGCATTAATCATATAAAGCATCGTTCCTTCAGAGCGCCCGCCTCACCTATCTCAAACTCCACGAGTTATACCCGACCCATCCACCGCCCACCTTGTGCGAACATTAGGTCATCGTCCCAGGCCGAAACCAAATCACCACAGTGAATACCGTTTTATCCTTCTAACCCATCTTGCGATCTCTTTACTACCTACAACGTGGTGATATTGCTGTGCCTCGTGTCGGCAAGCATTTTCCACACCCCTCAGGCAACATGGTGCAGTCACCCATGATATCATGTCCCCTCAAGGATACGAACGAAATCGACTGGATTCAGCCATTGAAATCATATATCCGCCACACATACGGCGATGACCCGGAGAGATATTCCGAAGAATGCGCGACGTTAAATAGGCTACGGCAAGACATGCGGGGAGCGGGGAGAGACAGTGCTACTGGACGCGACCTGCTATACCGGTATTACGGGCAACTGGAATTGCTGGATTTGCGGTTCCCAGTTGATGAGAATCATATCAAAATATCTTTCACATGGTATGGGTGGTTTTGGCTTGACTTCACTGGTGAAATTGCGCATAGGCTAAAACTCATCTGGATCAACCAGGTACGATGCTTTTACTCGCAAGGCTACCTCTCAGTACTCGTTGGCGTACGAGAAGGCATCCATAATTTTCAATATCTCCGCTGTCCTGTCCTGTCACGCTGCGAACCAGAGTCGTTCAGACGATACTGGCTTAAAAACGGCCTATCATTCGTTCCAGGCTTCAGCCGGCATGTTCACGTACATCAATGACAATTTCCTCCACGCACCTTCCACCGATTTGAGCCGTGACACGGTCAAGACTTTGATAGCAATTACCTTAGCCCAGGCGCAAGAAGTCTTCCTCGAGAAGCAAGTACGGGATGAGAAGAAGCCAGGTTTCCTAGCTAAACTCGCCAGCCAGGCAGCTCACCTTTACTCTCAGGCCAGCGAAGGAGTCCAGGAGAATGTTACCAAAGGAACCTTTGAAAAAGTGTGGGCCACCTTAGTTCTGATAAAAGCGTCGCATTTATCATCAGTCGCCGGATATTATCAAGCCATTGCTGATGATGGCACCGGAATTCATGGCGTCTCGATTGGCCGGCTGAAACTAGCAGAAAAGCAGTCGAACACCGCCCTTGGCTTAGCCAAATCGTTCCCTTCTTCTGTTCCGGCAGGGTCGAATCTAAACTCAGACACAGGCCCGACCATGGTAGAGATCGTTCGGCGGCATCTCGTAAACGTCCAGGAGAAGCTTGTCTCCTTTACGCGGGATAACGATTATATTTACCACCAGCCAGTCCCTAGTGAGGCGTCCTTGTCGATGATTGCCAAGCTCCCTGCCGCTAAAGCCATTCCCGTTAGTGAGCTTTATCAAGGTCAGGACATCCAGCGGATCATAGGTCCAGATATTTTCCAGAAGATAGTGCCAATGTCTGTCACGGAGTCTGCAAGCCTATATGATGAAGAAAAGGCGAAGCTTGTTCGTGCTGAAGTGGAAAAAGTTGAAGCTGCCAACGGAGAAATGGCTGCTGGCCTTGACTTCCTGAAACTACCGGGAAGTCTAAATATCCTGAAGGGAAGCATAGATCAAGAACTGGCTTGCGATGAAGATTTTAGATCGTGGTGCGCAGAAGTTGCAAGCCACCAACCTTTCCGTGGGACACTGGATGATCTACAAGAAGACAAGATTACTCTGCTCAGCACGTTGGAACAGTGCTCCAAGCAGCTTGATATGGAAGAAAGTGTCTGCGAGAAGATGCGGTCAAAATACGGGGCGGATTGGACCCAGCAACCAAGCTCACGACTTACTGCGACTTTGAGAAGCGATATTAGGACTTATCGTGGGACTATTGATGAAGCAAGCGCAAGCGATTCCCAACTCCTAGTCACTCTCAGACAATATGAAGGAGATTTCGAGGACATGCATGCAGCTGGTGAATCAGGAGAAGCAGACGTTCTATTCCAGCAGGCAATGATTAAGGCCGGGTCAAAACAGGGCAAGGGCGGGACCAGCAGTCCTTATCCTGCTGCACCTGAAGGTAGTCTATTGGATGAGGACTTCGGAGAAGGAACTGTGTCCGTGTCAGAACAAATCACAAGAGTGGAAGAGCTGCTGCGAAAGTTGAATCTTGTTAAGAGGGACCGAATGCAGACGTTAAAGGATCTGAAAGACAAGGTAATGTCGTCTGCTTTAACAATAAAGAAAGGAGTCAATACTGACACAGAACGAAGGTTCATAACGATGACATCTCCAACGTGCTCATTTTAAATAAGAAATCTATAGCCAACCAAGAAGAGCAACTCTTCCAGGCGGAGTTGGAGAAATTTAGACCACATCAAACTCGGTTGCTTCAGGCAAATCACAAGCAAACCGCTCTAATGAAGGAGCTAGCCAAGGTATACGGAGACCTGTTGCAGGATAAACGGGTGCGAGCAGAGCAATCTAAATATGAGACCCTATCACGACAACGAAATAGCGTGATATCAAAATATCGGAAAGTCCATAAAGCATTTAAGGAGCTTCTGTCGGGTCTGGACCAAGCGCAGACGTTTTACATGCAGATGAAAGATACGGTCGATAGCCTGAAGAAGAACGTGGATACTTTCCTTAACAACCGTCGGTCTGAAGGAGCACAGCTGTTAAACCAGATCGAGCGCGATAAGAGTTCCACAGGCCACGAAGACCGAGAGCGAGAAAAATTGAAACAACTGATGGAACGATTATCGATGGAACCGACTTCCACGTCACCATCATCCTCTAAGCCGAGGCCCAGTGCAATCAAGGTATCATCCTCAGCTACGAAATCCTCTCCCATTTCTCCCCATCATGGCGGGTCCGCTGCCGCTGGAGGACAGATACCCAGTCCCCACAATCAGAAACCTTCCTCCATATCATATCCTTCTTACCCAGCCAGCAACCCCCCTCCTCCCGAAGTCTATAACCCAGCTCAACCTTACCAACAGCACACGTCAGAAGTTTACAACCCCATGGCCTACTTCTACCAGACACCGACTTCACCACCACCAGGCCAACAATACTTTAGCCCGGGCCCTTCTCCATATGGTGGATATCCAGGTCAATCGCCTTACATGCCCCAGGGGTATGTTCCTCCCCCACCTCCCCCCCGACCTCATCGTTCCTCGGGATATAATGCTCAGACGGGCTCGTACATGACGAATCCCGGTGTTGTAGCTTATCAACAAGGTCCAGGGCGGCCTCCAAGCCAACCTCAAGGTGGCCAACCCGGCTCAACCTCGGCGCATAATGATCCATGGGCCGGATTAAATGCGTGGAAGTGAGCTTCGTGGCCCATGATTATCCCTTCGCTTAACAGAAGATAGGAATAGATCCAATTAATTTACCCCCAAAATAGCCTGCTATTGGCTGGTTTGTACAAATCAAGTCAGTCGTGAGAGAGGGATCTCGGTTCTTCATTTAGGGGCAGGGCACCATTTTTCCCACTCTCCGGGAACGATATGATGAGGACTATGGAATAACATGAACTTATATATACATGAGTGCTGAAAATATCGACTATGCACGAAACTGGATTTGAGAATACCGGGTAGGAAATAGAACTGGATGGTATACGCCAATTGTTTGTCGCTTTGTCGTATAAAATTTCCAAATGTACTCCGTATTTGGCAACTATTTTCACTCGGGCCGTGTGATAATTGTGCCGACCTAGGTCTTTTACTAGGGAGTGTGTATATGTCATCTTGCTTTTGTGTCATTCAAAGACTGCCTAGTATGCCTGTTTGTATTTCAAGGTTCAGGGCCCTCAAGGTCTAGTTGCAGTTCGTTTATAACGTCCTGAGACAAATAATGCCCACCTTTGCTCTTCATACTAGCTATCAATGTCCAAAGGCCATCAAAAACTTTCAGACTTTCTCCATTGAACATCACATATATGGGAGCGCCCTGTAGTTATATGTAGAATTGTTGTACTATAGAATCAAGCCTTGTAAAAGGGCTTAGAAGGAGAAGACATCACAAATGACTGAGGGTATTTTAGCACACCATAATATGGCACCATTGATAACGCCAGAACACAGTGAAGAGAATCCTGAATCATAAATCCTTCCCATAATCACAGAAACTCCATACTTCACCAATAACCCCCCCAAATATACCATACCAAGGCCCATCGCGTTAACAGATTCATCCAACTATGACGGTTGAAACCTATACCGAAATTCTCTGCCTTTCCTCTCTTCAGAAACCTTGTAGACAAACTTGGCGATGGCGTCCTGCTCCGATATCGCGGTGTTATTGAAGTGTTTCCTCACCGCCGACGCTAGATGTTCCTTGGACACTCGCCCGTAAGCGGTACCTATACGACTGCGTTGAAGGCCCTCGCCTGTCGTGGATTTAAAGTCTTTCGGGTTTTTGGAGGAAGAAGGTTGAAAGTTTTTGCCCTTGTCGCCGTTTTTTTTCGCGACCTTCTGAGCGTTGCGCATTGCGATGGCGGTGGGGGAACGGTAGCCAATGCCTCGTGAGAGGAGGATGGGGTTGATGCGTGAGGAGAATGCGCTGGGGCATTGGAGCTTGTGGACGTACCGATATTGATGGAGGACGGAGAGGGGCATGCTAGACCAGTTTATCTGAAAAAAACAAAAGAGGGATTGTCCGTTAGTCAT